TCGCCATCACGGTTGACAACTCCGCTGTGTCCTCCTCCCAGAGTGCGAAGAGCCTAGGCGTGACCCTGGACAACACCCTGTCGTTCTCCGCCAACATCAAGGCGGTGACCCGCTCCTGCAGGTTCATGCTCTACAACATTCGGAGAGTACGACCCTGCCTTACACAGGAAGCGGCACAGGTCCTAATCCAGGCACTTGTCATCTCCCGTCTGGACTACTGCAACTCGCTGTTGGCTGGCCTCCCTGCCTGTGCCATTAAACCCCTACAACTCATCCAGAATGCCGCAGCCCGCCTGGTGTTCAACCTTCCCAAGTTCTCTCACGTCACCCCCCCTCCTCCGCACACTCCACTGGCTTCCAGTTGAAGCTCGCATCCGCTACAAGACCATGGTGCTTGCCTATGGAGCAGTGAGGGGAACGGCACCTCTGTACCTTCAGGCTCTGATCAGTCCCTACACCCAAACGAGGGCATTGCGCTCATCCACCTCTGGCCTGCTGGCTCCCCTTCCTCTGCGGAAGCATAGTTCCCGCTCAGCCCAGTCAAAACTGTTCGCTGCTCTGGCACCCCAATGGTGGAACAAGCTCCCTCACGACGCCAGGACAGCGGAGTCACTCACCACCTTCCGGAGACATTTGAAACCCCACCTCTTTAAGGAATACCTGGGATAGGATAAAGGAATCCTTCTACCCCCCCCCCCCCCCCCCCCCCCAATTGTAAAGTGGTTATCCCACTGGCTATAGGGTGAACGCACCAATTTGTGAGTCGCTCTGGCTAAGAGCGTCTGCTAAATGACGTTAATGTGCCCTTGAGCAAGGCACTTAACCCTAATTGCTCCTGTAAGTCGCTCTGGATAAGAGCGTCTGCTAAATGACTAAAATGTAAAAAAATGTAAATGTAACACAACTGATTGACTCAAACGCATTAAGAAGGAAAGAAATTCCACAAACGAACTTTTAACAAGGCACACTTGTTAATTGAAATGCATTCCAGACGACTACCTCATGAAGCTAGTTGAGAGAATGCCAAGAGTGTGCAAAGCTGTCATCAAGGCAAAGGGTGGCTACTTTGAAGAATCTCAAATATAAAATATATTGTTTAACACTTTTATTGTTACTACATGATTCCATATGTGTTATTTCATAGTTTTGATGTCTTCACTATTATTCTACAAGGTAGAAAATTTGAAAAATATAGAAAAACCCTTGAATGAGTAGGTGTGTCCAAACGTTTGACTGGTTCTGTATATATATGTATATATATTGTAACAAAGGGTGTCCCACAGGGATACATTCTTGGTCTGGTTCTTTTCACTATTTACATGAACAATATTGTCAGTCTATCAAATAAATGTTTTACTTTCACCTGTATGCAGATGACACTGTGGTGTATTCTATTGCCCCCACAGCTGACCAGGGTCTGTCTGTTGCCCCCACAGCTGACCAGGCTCTGTCTGTTGCCCCCACAGCTGACCAGGCTCTGTCTGTTGCCCCCACAGCTGACCAGGCTCTGTCTGTTGCCACCCACAGCTGACCAGGGTCTGTCTGTTGCCCCCACAGCTGACCAGGGTCTGTCTGTTGCCCCCACAGCTGACCAGGCTCTGTCTGTTGCCCCCACAGCTGACCAGGCTCTGTCTGTTGCCCCCACAGCTGACCAGGCTCTGTCTGTTGCCCCCACAGCTGACCAGGCTCTGTCTGTTGCCCCCACAGCTGACCAGGCTCTGTCTATCAGGCTCTGTCAGAGCTTCAGTCTGCCTTTATTGCCCAGCAGAAAGCCTTTTTTGAACTGAAATCGGTACTTAAAGTGGGTAAAACCAAGCATATGTTATTTTCCAAATCACAAAATATATATTTTGATTTATGCATACGTACTTTGAATGGTGCCCTCATTGATCGTATCCCCGCCTATAAATATCTGAGCGTCTGGATTGACGAAAAGCTATCTTTTAAAAAGTATGTTGCTAAGTTAGTTAAGACATTAAGAATTACAAAGTAATTAAGGAACAAGTCCTATAGAAGACGGTCAAACGTTTTCAGTGTTAACTTAAATGATGGAAACCAGATATAAAATATGTAGAAAAGATAATGGAGCTATATATTTTTAAATAAGATTATCTTTGAGAACTAACAATCACCACAATAAAAACTAGACAGTCAGGGAGAATCTAAAATTCCCAATGTGTCATGGCATGGGGCCCCCATTGATTACAGTCAGGGAGAATCTAAAATTCCCAATGTGTCATGGCATGGGGCCCCCATTGATTACAGTCAGGGAGAATCTAAAATTCCCAATGTGTCATGGCATGGGGCCCCCATTGATTACAGTCAGGGAGAATCTAAAATTCCCAATGTGTCATGGCATGGGGCCCCCATTGATTTTGTTATGTTTGAGTCACTCAGATACAAGGCATAAGCCATGGCAAAATGTTTATAATTGAAGGAAATTTGCTTTAAAATTGACAAATTACCCTCAGCCCCATGGCAATATGTGTAGAATTGCAGGAAATTAGCTTTGAAACTGTAAAATGTTCTCTCTTCCCCATGGCAAAATGTGTAGAATTGCAGGAAATTAGCTTTAAAACTGCAACATTTTGTCTCTTCGGCCAAGAGTAGGCCCCCTGTAGCTCAGTTGGTAGAGCGTGGCGCTTGCAACGCCAGGGTTGTGGGTTCGATTCCCACGGCGGGGCCAGTATGAAAAATGTATGCACTCACTAACTGTAAGTCGCTCTGGATAAGAGCGTCTGCTAAATGACTACAATGTCAATGTAAAATGAGAGCCTCTAAAACCGCACACATTTAATGTGTATATTGTATTTTGATGTGTATTGTGGTGCTTTACAAGGCTCATCTGGAAAAGAGACCTTGGTCTCAGCATTGTCAAAATAAAGGTTCAATAAAATAAAATAAATGCACTGTATTCCCCATTGGCCCCGGTCAAAAGTCCTGCACTACACAGGAATAAGGTGCCGTTTGGGAAACAGACCTACAGTGTGTCTTTCATTTGTAACTGACCAGAGACTGGGTTCCCGGCTGCCCTGTGCCGTACTAGTGGTTTCAAAGGAACGGACCAGAGGCTGGGTTCCCGGCTGCCATTGGTCCATATTGGAAACATCTCAAGGTCTTATGGAAATCCTGACATTGTGTGAAGAGAAACGTGGCTCCAAACAATAGCTGCTATTGGACCACACAAAGTGACGTTATAAATAAAACACTACACACGGTGATGTACTACTAGAGAGGGAACGACTGAGATTGTAACAGGAAATAAAGGCATTTTGTGAATACAGGGAAGCTATTTGGTTTGAGTGGATCTCCTTTTTATATTCCAGTGTTCGGTTGATGTTGTATTGTTCTTATACAGAGATAAAGTAATCCTTCTACCCCCCCTTACCCACCCCCCCCCCAAAAAAAATATATATATTGTAAAGTGGTTATCCCACTGGCTATAAGGTGAATGCACCAATTTGTAAGTCGCTCTGGATAAGACCGTCTGCTAAATGACGTAAATGTAAATGTAATGTACAGTAGATTAGGGCCAAGGTCCCTGCAATGGACTAGAGTCATGTCCAGGGGGTGTACTTGTACATCATGCTGTCTCATACTACAAAAACAGGAGATGGACTCCTGCTCCTGTGAGCCGTTCTCATCGAGCTACCTCACACTACAGAAACACTTGGGGGGGGTTTTTCTATATCAAATTGGCCGTCGTGTCAGATTACTTATGGAGACATTATTTGGACATGCGAGCAATGTTATGAACATGCTTCTTACCTAGTCTATTTCAATCATAGATCATGCTCAGTAAAATGTGTGAGAGCTTGGGAATCAAACGGCATTTCCTCTTTCTAGGTAGGACCAGATTTATTTGAATCAGTTCAGTCAGTGAGCCCAACCCAGACCCACCCAGCACTCGGATTCAAGTGTGAAGTAAGTCCCAAATGCTACCCTATTCTCTATTGACGTTTTAATCATTTAGCAGACTCTTATCCGGAGCGATTTACAGGAGCTATTAGGGTTAAGTGCCTTGCTCAAGGGCACATCTACAGATTTTTCACATAGTCGGCTCAGGGATTCAAACCAGCAACCTTTCGGTTACAAGCCCGACGCTCTTAACTGCATGTCTAAAGTAGCGCAGTTTCGGGAATCACCCTGTGGTTATGCTACGACCATTAGTTACCAAGACCACAATTCTCACTCGGGTTACTACGAGTCAAAGCTGTATGGATTCCTTGGGGCTTTCTTATGTTTCAATGCATCTCAAGTGTTTCCCAAATGGCAACCTTTGTAGTGCACTACTTTTGACCAGAGCCTTATGAGCCCTGGTCAAAAGTAGTGCACTATAAAAAGAATAGGGGTATCATTTGAGGCAAATCCCTCCGAAATGACAGGAAGCAGAAGAAAACAGCACGTCAACCTTCCCATGCTAATCCCATGGGTCTTGACCCTGTGACTGTTTGTCCCAGCTTTGAATGACAGCCTAGTCTCATATGGTTGGATATTTTTAGATGTTGTATTCAGCAGGGCAATCCCTTTAAAAACTGACTTTGAGAAGGGGCTCTTGGGCTGCCCGGGACCACTGGTTTATTTGGAAATGCTTCAAATCACAGAACAAGGGGAAGAAGTTAGTAAGTAGTTCGTAAATTTATTTAAAAAAATCTTTGGTCAAAATGTGAAAATGTACCATTCACATCCCACAACCCTCCGCAGAATGACTTCTAGAGGCGTTGAGAGGTTTAGTGAAGTGATGACGGGCTGGGTGCTGGATAAACGCACCGAATAGGAAAACTGCTGACTTCAAGTGCCTTTTGAGAAGAAAAACTGTGATTTAACTGGGCGAAAATAGTTTCCTTCAGCATAACTGGCTAACGTTAGTTGATACAAGCAACCGTTCTGTTTGGGCTTTTGTCTAGATTGCCAGTAAAATAGCAACAAGTGTGAAGCTAGCTAGCTACCAAGCTAACTAATCAAAGTCCGTAGCCAGCAGCATCAACTAGCTACCTAAAATGTACACGCTGCAGATTGGAAGGGACGCTGGTAGTTTTGGGGAACTTTGTAGGAGTTTCTGACATTGCATTGATGTCTCCTTTGTTTGAGTTATGCTTTCAAGAAAGAAAAGCAAAAACGAAGCGTCGAAACCGGCCGAGGTACACGGGAAATACGTCAAGAAGGAGACATCACCACTACTGAGAAGTAAGTTGGTTATCTAACTAGTTTAGCTAACTAAATCAAATAAAATGTTATCGGTCACGTACACATATTTGGCAGATGTTATTGTGAGTGTAGCGAAATGCTTGTGTTCCTTGCTCCAACATTGTAGAAGTATCTAACAATTCACAACAATACAAACAAATATAAAAGTAAAAGAATGGAATTAAGAAATACATAAATAGCAATGTCGGAATGGCATTGGCTAAAATACAGTAGAATACAGTAACGTTATATACATATGAAATGAGTAAAGAGTATGTAAACATGATTAAAGTGACTTGTGTTCCATTATTAAAGTGACCAGTGATTCCATGTCTATGGTACATAGTAAAGGGCAGCAGCCTCTAAGGTGCAGGTTGAGGAACCGGGTGGTAGCCGGGGCAGCAGGGTTGAGGAACCGGGTGGTAGCCGGGGCAGCAGGGTTGAGGAACCGGGTGGTAGCCGGGGCAGCAGGGTTGAGGAACCGGGTGGTAGCCGGGGCAGCAGGGTTGAGGAACCGGGTGGTAGCCGGGGCAGCAGGGTTGAGGAACCGGGTGGTAGCCGGGGCAGCAGGGTTGAGGAACCGGGTGGTAGCCGGGGCAGCAGGGTTGAGGAACCGGGTGGTAGCCGGGGCAGCAGGGTTGAGGAACCGGGTGGTAGCCGGGGCAGCAGGGTTGAGGAACCGGGGTGTAGCCGGGGCAGCAGGGTTGAGGAACCGGGTGGTAGCCGGGCAGCAGGGTTGAGGAACCGGGTGGTAGCCGGGGCAGCAGGGTTGAGGAACCGGGTGGTAGCCGGGGCAGCAGGGGTTGAGGAACGGGTGGTAGCCGGGGCAGCAGGGTTGAGGAACCGGGTGGTAGCCGGGGCAGCAGGGTTGAGGAACCGGGTGGTAGCCGGGGCAGCAGGGTTGAGGAACCGGGTGGTAGCCGGGGCAGCAGGGTTGAGGAACCGGGTGGTAGCCGGGGCAGCAGGGTTGAGGAACCGGGTGGTAGCCGGGGCAGCAGGGTTGAGGAACCGGGTGGTAGCCGGGGCAGCAGGGTTGAGGAACCGGGTGGTAGCCGGGGAAGCAGGGTTGAGGAACCGGGTGGTAGCCGGGGCAGCAGGGTTGAGTAGCCGGGGAAGCAGGGTTGAGGAACCGGGTGGTAGCCGGGGCAGCAGGGTTGAGGAACCGGGTGGTAGCCGGGGCAGCAGGGTTGAGTAGCCGGGGAAGCAGGGTTGAGGAACCGGGTGGTAGCCGGGGCAGCAGGGTTGAGGAACCGGGTGGTAGCCGGCTAGTGTTAGTCTCTTCGTTAAACACTTTTTTTTTCTCCAATTCACACGTTTTTGGTCATATGATGATACCCAAGCATAATACGTTTGGTGAACTTTATTATACTATCAAATACTTACTGTGGCTTCTACGTGGCTAACTAGCATCTAGCTTGCTAGCGTTAGCCAAAGTTGAGCTATGCAGCTAGCTAGCTCTGGTCCATAGCGTTACACGCGGCTCTTGAGCCTTCTTCTCAACGCCCTGTATCTCTCCATTCATTCATCCAATGTGGATTTCCCCCGCTGATTTTGTCAAGTGACAGGCTTCAGTACAGTTTCGTTACCCACCAATGTGAAGATGTTGCTGGAGTGTTGACTAACTTACTTTCTGTATGCGCTAACTGTCCATAGCATGCGCATGGCCAACTCAATTTCAAAATACGGTTTGTTGTGCTACATGCTAACTACCTAGCTAAATTATTATGACCTGTAGAATAGATGTAGTTAATTAGAGTCAGTGTTATTTTCATGTGTAGAGAACATGGACATATTCCTGGAAGGTGTGTTGCAATATATATTTTTTTTAATTAATGATCAGATTCGTAGAATAACTAGTCAGTCATCTTTTTGAAAAGAGTTAATAGCCCCCTGTTCTTGACATTAACATACACCTGTTGGTCCTGTTTCAGATCTCATGCCCTCATTCATCCGACATGGACCCACTATCCCCAGACGCACCGAGGTCCCTCCGCCAGAGCCTGGCCCAGTGCACTCATCCTACCCCGTGGGACCCAGCCCTGAGCCTGTGTTGGCCCGCAACAAGAGCTTCCTACGCAACCCTGTGCAGAGGCCACCCCACGAGGCGGCTCGGCGGGAACGCCATCGGATGTCAGCCCCTCCGTACCTACCCCGCAGCCTGGGGGACCTACCCCACGAGTACGGAGGCTCCTCGCAGTCCTTCCTCACAGACGTGAGCCCCATGGGTGAGAACGGGGACGCTGGACGCTACTATTACCCCCAGCCTCGGGAGCCTTATTACGACAGCCAGCAGCAGCAGAGACGGCCTCAGCAGCCCAGAGCCCCTGACCGCCTCCATGACGACTATAGATACTATGAACACAACGAACATCCAAACTTCCAAAGACTACCACCGCAGCAACACACTCCTCCGGCCCCCAACAGACAACCAGCAGGTGAAACATAAAGAAGTCTTACTCTAAAGTCAAAATCCGTTGTCATAATAGTCAATAAGTTGAAACCAATTTCATATTGATGCGATATCTTATAAGGAAGCCTGATAAAGCTATGACTCAGTAAAAAAGGTAGTTTAGTCAGCAAGAACAAAAATGATGACGGAGGCTTGGAATGTCTGTAGAATGTGAGTTATAATGCTATTTACATTTACGTCATTTAGCAGACGCTCTTATCCAGAGCGACTTACAAATTGGTGCATTCACCTTATAGCCAGTGGGATAACCACTTTACAATGTTTTTTTTTTTTTTTTTTGGGGGGGGGGGGGGGCGTAGAAGGATTACTTTATCCTATCCCAGGTATTCCTTAAAGAGGTGGGGTTTCAAATGTCTCCGGAAGGTGATGAGTGACTCCGCTGTCCTGGCGTCGTGAGGGAGCTTGTTCCACCATTGGGGTGCCAGAGCAGCGAACAGTTTTGACTGGGCTGAGCGGGAACTGTGCTTCAGCAGAGGTAGGGGGGCCAGCAGGCCAGAGGTAGGGGGGCCAGCAGGCCAGAGGTAGGGGGGCCAGCAGGCCAGAGGTGGATGAACGTAGTGCCCTCGTTTGGGTGTAGGGTCTGATACTGGTGAGGCTCTACACCTGGGCTTTGTGGACCCTACGGGCCTTGGTTAAAAGTAGTGGGCTACAGAGGGAATAGTGTGCCAGTAGGAACGTAGCCTTGCTTAAGGGGATACGGTGAGTAGGCTATATATTCTAGGGTTCATTCCTGGACTGCCACTCCTCAGTATGACCATGGAGCTATAGTGTAACTAGTGAACACAGCTTAGGAACAGGTGTTAAAATAAGTCTTTGTTGCTACCGTGTGTCCGGGTGCTCAACTAGCAGATCCTTTTTTTGGACAGAGCCTTAAACGAAAGGGGTGGTGCCGGTTCAGTAAACCTCATTGTTTTGTATCTTCAAATATAGTCTCGCTACAAACTAGTAATTTGCAGACGGAGTGGGATCGCCCCAAGTCACATGACTAAACCCCAGACTGGTGCATGTCATATGTTGTCTTCTCTGTGTTAAACACATTACACACACGCTACTTCAATACATTTACATTTACATTTACGTCATTTAGCAGACGCTCTTATCCAGAGCGACTTACAGTTAGTGAATATTTTTTATTTTTATTTATTTTAAACCCACAACCCTGGTATTGCAAACGCCATGCTCTATCAACTGAGCTACACCCCTGCCGGCCATTCCCTCCCCTACCCTGGACGACGCTGGGCCAATTGTGCGCCGCCCATGAGTCTCCCGGTCGCGGCCGGCTGCGACAGAGCCTGGATTCGAACCAGGATCTCTAGTGGCACAGTTAGCACTGCGATGCAGTGCCTTAGACCACTGCGCCACTCAGGAAGTACAATAGACTCTAGAATGTGAGTCTTGATGCAAAGTCCCACTGTCTGGTGCATCAGGTGGGACGCTGGGGATAAAGGTCCACATGAACGGAATTATACTGACACTCAGATCTTTCACTTTACAGTGTATGCCAAACAAAATCCATTTGATTTTCAAATTGAACAAGCCGTACAACTCTATGCACAATGACCGCTTTGAACAATTCACTCATAACATTTTACAAAAAACACATTTACTTGGAAGAACAGTGCAGATGCAAAGTTTGGTAACAGAATGACGGCACCAACGGCACAAACCGTCATTCTGTTACCAAACGTGTTTTATATATATATATTTTTTTAAGGAGGAGGGCGGGGAGGGAAGAGAGGAGGAAGAGGAGTGTATATTTGTGTGGTACGCAGGCACTCACCAGCTGGCTAGGCGCACCAGTCCTATTGCTGTCCCTCACTGTCCCTCACTTTCATGCAGAATCTATCAGATTCCAGCTGCCATTGTGATGAAATTGTCTTGCTCATGTTGTGTTTTCTATATGCCCAGGACAGGGGACTTTACTGTTATAATTTGAGCTGTAAAAGTGAATTTGATATCAGCCCAACTGATTACTCCTTTGCTGAATCTAGGCCTAACTCTTTAAACCATGACTATATGGGCTCTGATACCACATCTGCAGCTCCGACACGGAGCCTGTTGAGTGAGCCCAGCTTGCTGCTTCCTCCTGCTGCTTCCTCCTGCTGCTTCCTGCTGCTTCTTCCTGCTGCTTCCTGCTGCTTCCTCCTGCTACTTCCTCCTGCTGTTTCCTGCTTCTTCCTGCTGCTGACTGAGTGAGGCTGGGTGTGAGGGGTTGGTTTTCCCCGTTCATGGATTGAAAAGGAAAGAACTGGAACACTATATATACAAAAGTATGTGGACACCCCTTCAAATGAGTGGATTAGGATATTTCAGCCATACCCGTTGCTGACAAGTGTAGAAAATCTGGCACACCGCCATGCAATCTCCATAGACAAACATTGGCAGTAGAATGGCCTTACTGAAGAGCCCAGTGACTTACAACGTGGCACCGTCATAGGATGCCACCTTTCCAACAAGTCAGTTCGTAAAATTTCTGCCCTGCTAGAGCTGCCCCGGTCAACTGTAAGTGCTGTTATTGTGAAGTGGAAACGTCTAGGAACAACAATGGCTCAGCCGTGAAGTGGTAGGCCACACAATCTCACAGAACGGGACCGCCGAGTGCTGAAGCGTGTAAAAATCGTCTGCCCTCGGTTGCAACACTCACTACAGAGTTCCAAACTTGACTCTGGAAGCAACGTCAGCACAAGAACTGTTCGTCGGGAGCTTCATGAAATGGGTTTCCATGGCCGAGCAGCCGCACACAAGCCTAAGATCACCATGGCCAATGCCAAGCATCGGCTGGAGTGGTGTAAAGCTCGCCGCCATTGGACTCTGGAGCAGTGGAAACGCGTTCTCTGGAGTGATGAATCATCCTTCACCATCTGGCAGTCCGACAGACGAATCTGTGTTTGGCGGATGGCAGGAGAACGCTACCTGCCCCAATGCATAGTGCCAACTGTAAAGTTTGGTGGAGGAGGAATAATGGTCTGGGGCTGTTTTTCATGGTTAGGGCAAGGACCCTTAGTTCCAGTGACGGGAAATCTTAATGTTACAGCATACAATGACATTCTAGATGATTCTGTGCTTCCAACTTTGTGGCAACAGTTGGGGAAGGCCCTTTCCTGTTTCAGCATGACAATGCCCCGTGCACAAAGCGAGGTCCATACAGAAATGGTTTGTCGAGATCAGTGTGGAAGAACTTGACTGGCCTGAACAGAGCCCTGACCTCAACCCCATCGAACACCTTTGGGATGAAATGGAACACTGACTGCGAGCCAGGTGTCCACATATCTTTCGTAATGTATAAGTACTATGGTGGAGGAAACTCCCTCTGGCCCAGGGGTGGGAAAACACGGCTCTGGACCAGGGGTGGGAAAACACGGCTCTTGCCTATGCTTACAACAATCCAATGCTTTTTATTGTGTGGAGAGGAGTGCACACTTCAGGAGAAAGGACAGATGAGATGTAAGCTCTGTTTGAATTTGAGCTCAGATCTCTGCCTTCCTGTCCAATGAATAGATTTACTCTCCCATTTCCTACCATCAAGAGAGGTGGATCACAATCAGAATGTGAGTGTGTGTCAGAGAGGGAGTAGGAAATCTAGGACCGTATTGTTAAAAAAGTATCAGCAGCAACGCAGTGTTTCAGTGTTTGTACAGTTGATGTGTCAGAATGTTTTTTTTTTTTTAATACAGTGAGGGGAAAAAAGTATTTGATCCCCTGCCGATTTTGTACGTTTGCCCACTGACAAAGACATGATCAGTCTATAATTTTTAATGGTAGGTTTATTTGAACAGTGAGAGACAGAATAACAACAACAAAATCCAGAAAAACACATGTCAAAAATGTTATAAATTGATTTGCATTTTAATGAAGGAAATAAGTATTTGACCCCCTCTCAATCAGAAAGATTTCTGGCTCCCAGGTGTCTTTTATACAGGTAACAAGCTGAGATTAGGAGCACTCCCTTTAAGAGTGTGCTCCTAATCTCAGTTTGTTACCTGTATAAAAGACACCAGTCCACAGAAGCAATCAATCAATCAGATTCCAAACTCTCCACCATGGCCAAGACCAAAGAGCTCTCCAAGGATGTCAGGGACAAGATTGTAGACCTACACAAGGCTGGAATGGGCTACAACACCATCGCCAAGCAGCTTGGTAAGGTGGTGACAACAGTTGGTGCGATTATTTGCAAGTGGAAGAAACACAAAAGAACTGTCAATCTCCCTCGGCCTGGGGCTCCATGCAAGATCTCACCTCGTGGAGTTACAATGATCATGAGAACGGTGAAGAATCAGCTCAGAACTACACGGGAGGATCTTGTCAATGATCTCAAGGCAGCTGGGACCATAGTCACCAAGAAAACAATTGGTAACACACTACGCCGTGAAGGACTGAAATCCTGCAGCGCCCGCAAGGTCCCACTGCTCAAGAAAGCACATATACAGGCCCGTCTGAAGTTTGCCAATGAACATCTGAATGATTCAGAGGAGAACTGGGTGAAAGTGTTGTGGTCAGATGAGACCAAAATCGAGCTCTTTGGCATCAACTCAACTCGCCGTGTTTGGAAGAGGAGGAATGCTGCCTATGACCCCAAGAACACCATCCCCACCGACAAACATGGAGGTGGAAACATTATGCTTTGAGGTGTTTTTCTGCTAAGGGGAGACGACAACTTCACCGCATCAAAGGGACGATGGACGGGGCCATGTACCGTCAAATCTTGGGTGAGAACCTCCTTCCCTCAGCCAGGGCATTGAAAATGGGTCGTGGATGGGTATTCCAGCATGACAATGACCCAAAACACATGGCCAATGCAACAAAGGAGTGGCTCAAGAAGAAGCACATTAAGGTCCTGGAGTGGCCTAGCCAGTCTCCAGACCTTAATCCCATAGAAAATCTGTGGAGGGAGCTGAAGGTTCAAGTTACCAAACGTCAGCCTCGAAACCTTAATGACTTGGAGAAGATCAGCAAAGAGGAGTGGAACAAAATCCCTCCTGAGATGTGTGCAAACCTGGTGGCCAACTACAAGAAACGTCTGACCTCTGTGATTGCCAACAAGGGTTTTGCCACAAAGTACTAAGTAATGTTTTGCAGAGGGGTCAAATACTTATTTCCCTCATTAAAATGCAAATCAATTTATAACATTTTTGACATGTGTTTTTCTGGATTTTTTTGTTGTTATTCTGTCTCTCACTGTTAAAATAAACCTACCATTAAAATTATAGACTGATCATGTCTTTGTCAGTGGGCAAACGTACAAAATCAGCAGGGGATCAAATACTTTTTTCCCTCACTGTAGTAGTGGACATTGTTCCTCCTCTATAAATGGATACTGTCCCCAGAGGACATGATTCCTCCTCTATAAATGGATACTGTCCCCAGAGGACATGGTTCCTCTATAAATATATACTGTCCCCAGAGGACATGATTCCTCCTCTATAAATATATACTGTCCCCAGAGGACATGATTCCTCCTCTATAAATATATACTGTCCCCGGAGGACATGATTCCTCCTCTATAAATGGATACTGTCCCCAGAGGAAATGATTCCTCCTCTATAAATGGATACTGTCCCCAGAGGACAGGATTCCTCCTCTATAAATATATACTGTCCCCAGAGGACATGATTCCTCCTCTATAAATATATACTGTCCCCAGAGGACATGATTCCTCCTCTATAAATGGATACTGTCCCCAGAGGACATGGTTCCTCTATAAATATATACTGTCCCCAGAGGACATGATTCCTCCTCTATAAATATATACTGTCCCCAGAGGACATGATTCCTCCTCTATAAATATATACTGTCCCCGGAGGACATGATTCCTCCTCTATAAATGGATACTGTCCCCAGAGGAAATGATTCCTCCTCTATAAATGGATACTGTCCCCAGAGGACATGATTCCTCCTCTATAAATATATACTGTCCCCGGAGGACATGGTTCCTCCTCTATAAATATATACTGTCCCCAGAGGACATGATTCCTCCTCTATAAATATATACTGTCCCCGGAGGACATGATTCCTCCTCTATAAATGGATACTGTCCCCGGAGGACATGATTCCTCCTCTATAAATGGATACTGTCCCCAGAGGAAATGATTCCTCCTCTATAAATGGATACTGTCCCCAGAGGACAGGATTCCTCCTCTATAAATATATACTGTCCCCAGAGGACATGATTCCTCCTCTATAAATATATACTGTCCCCAGAGGACATGATTCCTCCTCTATAAATGGATACTGTCCCCAGAGGACATGGTTCCTCTATAAATATATACTGTCCCCAGAGGACATGATTCCTCCTCTATAAATATATACTGTCCCCAGAGGACATGATTCCTCCTCTATAAATATATACTGTCCCCGGAGGACATGATTCCTCCTCTATAAATGGATACTGTCCCCAGAGGAAATGATTCCTCCTCTATAAATGGATACTGTCCCCAGAGGACATGATTCCTCCTCTATAAATATATACTGTCCCCGGAGGACATGGTTCCTCCTCTATAAATATATACTGTCCCCAGAGGACATGATTCCTCCTCTATAAATATATACTGTCCCCGGAGGACATGATTCCTCCTCTATAAATGGATACTGTCCCCGGAGGACATGATTCCTCCTCTATAAATGGATACTGTCCCCAGAGGACATGATTCCTCCTCTATAAATATATACTGTCCCCAGAGGACATGATGCCTCCTCTATAAATGGATACTGTCCCCAGAGGACATGGTTCCTCCTCTATAAATATATACTGTCCCCAGAGGACATGATTCCTCCTCTATAAATATATACTGTCCCCGGAGGACATGATTCCTCCTCTATAAATGGATACTGTCCCCGGAGGACATGATTCCTCCTCTATAAATATATACTGTCCCCAGAGGATATGATTCCTCCTCTATAAATATATACTGTCCCCGGAGGACATGATTCCTCCTCTATAAATATATACTGTCCCCAGAGGACATGATTCCTCCTCTATAAATATATACTGTCCCCAGAGGATATGATTCCTCCTCTATAAATATATACTGTCCCCGGAGGACATGATTCCTCCTCTATAAATATAAAACTGTCCCCAGAGGCCCATGATTCCTCCTCTATAAATGGATACTGTCCCCAGAGGACATGGTTCCTCTATAAATATATACTGTCCCCAGAGGACATGATTCCTCCTCTATAAATATATACTGTCCCCAGAGGACATGATTCCTCCTCTATAAATATATACTGTCCCCGGAGGACATGATTCCTCCTCTATAAATGGATACTGTCCCCAGAGGAAATGATTCCTCCTCTATAAATGGATACTGTCCCCAGAGGACAGGATTCCTCCTCTATAAATATATACTGTCCCCAGAGGACATGATTCCTCCTCTATAAATATATACTGTCCCCAGAGGACATGATTCCTCCTCTATAAATGGATACTGTCCCCAGAGGACATGGTTCCTCTATAAATATATACTGTCCCCAGAGGACATGATTCCTCCTCTATAAATATATACTGCCCCCAGAGGACATGATTCCTCCTCTATAAATATATACTGTCCCCGGAGGACATGATTCCTCCTCTATAAATGGATACTGTCCCCAGAGGACATGATTCCTCCTCTATACAATATATACTGTCCCGAGGACATGGTTCCTCCTCTATAAATATATACTGTCCCCAGAGGACATGATTCCTCCTCTATAAATATATACTGTCCCCGGAGGACATGATTCCTCCTCTATAAATGGATACTGTCCCCGGAGGACATGATTCCTCCTCTATAAATGGATACTGTCCCCAGAGGACATGATTCCTCCTCCTATAAATATATACTGTCCCCAGAGGACATGATGCCTCCTCTATAAATGGATACTGTCCCCAGAGGACATGGTTCCTCCTCTATAAATATATACTGTCCCCAGAGGACATGATCCTCCTCTATAAATATATACTGTCCCCGGAGGACTGATTCCTCCTCTAAAAATGGATACTGTCCCCGGAGGACATGATTCCTCCCTCTATAAATATATACTGTCCCCAGAGGATATGATTCCTCCTCTATAATATATACTGTCCCCGGAGGACATGATTCCTCCTCTATAAATATATACTGTCCCCAGAGGACATTGATTCCTCCTCTATAAATATATACTGTCCCCAGAGGATATGATCCTCCTCTATAAATATATACTGTCCCCAGAGGACATGATTCCTCCTCTATAAATATATACTGTCCCCAGAGGACATGATTCCTCCTCTATAAATATAACTGTCCCCAGAGGACATGATTCCTCCTCTAGTAAATGGAATGACTGTCTTCCCAGAGGACATGATTCCTCCTCTATAATATATACTGTCCCAGAGGATATGTATCCTCCTCTTAAATATATACTGTCCCCAGAGGACATGATTCCTCCTCTATAAATATATACTGTCCCCAGAGGACATGATTGTATATAATAGGCACAGTGTATATAATATAAAAGAATAGACTAGAACGGACAGACGCAGACCCTAGATGAGAGGCTGAAAGCAGCACAGGGTCAGTTACAGGGCAGTGCCCCTGCTGGTATGGCATGGTAATGCTAGTTTGGTTTTACCACAGGATACAGGACGGTACCAGGGCCTGGCAACAGGTTTTACCACAGGATACAGGACGGTACCAGGGCCTGGCAACAGGTTTTACCACAGGATACAGGACGGTACCAGGGCCTGGCAACAGGTTTTACCACAGGATACAGGACGGTACCAGGGCCTGGCAACAGGTTTTACCACAGGATACAGGACGGTACCAGGGCCTGGCAACAGGTTTTACCACAGGATACAGGACGGTACCAGGGCCTGGCAACAGGTTTTACTACAGGATACAGGACGGTACCAGGGCCTGGCAACAGGTTTTACCACAGGATACAGGACGGTACCAGGGCCTGGCAACAGGTTTTACCACAGGATACAGGACGGTACCAGAGCCTGGCAACAGGTTTTACCACAGGATACAGGACGGTACCAGGGCCTGGCAACAGGTTTTACCACAGGATACAGGACGGTACCAGAGCCTGGCAACAGGTTTTACCACAGGATACAGGACGGTACCAGGGCCTGGCAACAGGTTTTACCACAGGATACAGGACGGTACCAGGGCCTGGCAACAGGTTTTACCACAGGATACAGGACGGTACCAGGGCCTGGCAACAGGTTTTACCACAGGATACAGGACGGTACCAGGGCCTGGCAACAGGTTTTACTACAGGATACCTGAAGCTTTAGGGTGGCACCCTGTTCCCCATAGGGCTTTAGTCGAAAGTAGTGCACTATAATAATAATAATATGCCATTTAGCAGACGCTTTTATCCAAAGCGACTTACAGTCATGTGTGCATACATTTTTACGTATGGGTGGTCCCGGGGATCGAACCCACTACCCTGGCGTTACAAGCGCCATGCTCTACCAATTGAGCTACAGAGGACCACACTATGTAGGGAATAGGGTGCAATTTGGGAGTCAGCCCATATGTTTGGCCAGCCATCCTCTGAAGGTTTAAGGTATCTTAACAGTGGTTGTTTTTTTTCTCCTCCTCTCCTCAGGTATCGGTCGGATGCAGGCCAAGTCTCTGGGGAACCTGTCCAGTCCGAGCGGTGAGGACATCCCCCTGCCCCGTGGTTGGACGGTAGACTGGACCATCCGAGGCAGGAAGTACTACATCGACCACAACACCAACACCACCCACTGGTCCCACCCCCTGGAGAGAGAGGGTCTGCCCCCTGGCTGGGAGAAGGTGGAGTCGGCTGAGTTTGGGACTTACTACGTGGACCACATCAACAAGAGGGCGCAGTATAGACACCCCTGGGCTCCTAGGTGGGATTTTAGAGACAGACAGGCGGTGTAAGATGAAGTTATGCGGTGTAAGATGAAGTTAGGCGGTGTAAGATGAAGTTAGGCGGTGTAAGATGAAGTTAGGCGGTGTAAGATGAAGTTAGGCGGTGTAAGATGAAGTTAGGCGGTGTAAGATGAAGTTAGGCGGTGTAAGATGAAGTTAGGCGGTGTAAGATGAAGTTAGGCGGTGTAAGATGAAGTTAGGCGGTGTAAGATGAAGTTAGGCGGTGTAAGATGAAGTTAGGCGGTGTAAGATGAAGTTACCCTTAGACGCTGATCTATGGTCAGTTTGGCATGTTCGCCACTAATGGTGAAGGTTAGGATTGGAGGAGGGGACGCCTGACCTAGATCTGTACCTAGGGGAAACACTCACGCGCGCGCACACATCTTGGTATTGTCTTTTTATTAATTTTTTATTTTTATGAGAATCTGTTAAAAACAATCATTTTATTCTGATATTTTAACTTGACTCCTAGCCTCTGCCAATACTAAGCTGAACAAATATATAAACGCAACATGTGAAGTGTTGGTCCCCATGCTTCATGAGCTGAACTAAAAGATCCCAGAAGTTTTCCATACGCAATAAAAGTTTATTTCTCTCAAATGTATGGCCCTGTTAGTGTATGGCCCTGTTAGTGAGCATTTCTCCTTTGCCAAGATAATCCATCCACCTGACAGGTGTGGCATATCAAGAAGCTGATTAAACAGCATGATCATTACACAGGTGCACCTTGTGCTGGAGACAAAAGGTCACACACTCTAAAATGTGCAGTTTTGTCAAACAACACAATGCCAAAGATGTCTCAAGTTTTGAGGGGAGCGTGCAATTGGCATGCTGACTGCAGGAATGTCCACCAGAGCTGTTGCCAGAGAATTGAATGTTAATTTCTCTACCATAAGCCGCCTCCAACGTTGTTTTAGAGAATTTGGCAGTACGTTCAACTGGCCTCACAACCGCAGACCACGTGTAACCACGCCAGCCCAGGACCTCCACATCCTGCTTCTTCACCTGCGGGATCGTCTGAGACCAGCCACCCGGACAGCTGATGAAACTATGGGTTTGCCACATCCAAAGAATTTCTGCACAAACTGTCAGAAACCGTCTCAGGGAAGCTCATCTGCGTGCTCGTCAGGGAAGCTCATCTGCGTGCTCGTCATCCTCACCAGGGCCTTGACCTGACTGCAGTTCGGCATCGTAACCGGCATCAGTGGGTAAATGCTCCCCTTCGATGGCCACAAGCACGCTGGAGAAGTGTGTTCTTCACGGATGAATCCCGGTTTCAACTGTACCGGGCAGATGGCTTGGTGTGGGCGAGCGGTTTTCTGATGTCAACGTTGTGAACAGAGTGCCCCATGGTGGCGGTGGGGTTATGGTACGGGCAGGCCTGGGCCACGGACATGAAACAAAATAGATTTTTATTGATTGGCAATTTGAACGCACAGAGATACCGTGACGAGATCCTGAGGCCCATTGTCGTGCCATTCATCCGCCACCATCACCTCATGTTTCAGCATGATAATGCACGGCCCCATGTCGCAAGGATCTGTACACAATTCCTGGAAGCTGAAAATGTCCCAGTTCTTCCATGGCCTTCATACTCACCATACACGTCACCCATTTGAGCTCTGGATCGACGTGTACGACGGCGTGTTCCGGTTCCCGCCAATATCCAGCAACTTCGCACAGCCACTGAAGAGGAGTGGGACAACATTCCACAGGCCACAATCAACAGCCCGATCAACTCTATGCGGAGATGTGTCGCGCTGCATGAGGCAAATGGTGGTCACACCAGATACTGACTGGTTTTCTGATCCACGCCCCTACCTTTTTTTTTTAAAGGTATATGTGACCAACCGATGCATAACTGTATTCCCAGTCATGTGAAATCCATAGATTAGGGCCTAATTCATTTAATGACTGATTTCCTTATATGAACTGTAACTCAGTCAAATCTTTGAAATTGCTGCATGTTGCATTTTGATATTTTTCTTCAGTGTAACGATCTAACCCACTCTTCCTATTCCAGTGCTCCTCTCTATGACCAGCCCCAACCCCCTGCCCACTCTAGTTGTACACACACACACACAATGGACTTGTAGTCCTTTTTAAAAAGGGAATACAATTTTAAAAAAATATTTTTTATTTTGACTTTTCTTCCATTTCCAGCGTGCCCCGTTATGACCAGCCCCCTCCCCTGCCCCCTCCGGTTGTATACCAGCCTCGCCCAGCAGAGAGGAACCATCCAGTGCTGGTGCCAGCCAACCCATACCACACTGCAGAGATCCCAGACTGGCTACAGGTGTATGCCCGCGCCCCGCTCAAGTGAGTACCTGGCGTACCTGGCGTACCTGGCGTACCTGGCGTACCTCCGTAGACTGGCTCATAGTTTCAAAGAGGTTTTCATTGATGAAACACAAAAGGGAACCGGTACTGGAGACACCTTGCCGTTTTGGAGACGGCGTGGCGTTTCTAGCGAAGAGATTTGCAATGGCTAATTAACGGTAAATAAGTTAGTTTCACCTCAGCCAAGATGCTAAGCTAGCCTAGAACCAGCGACCTTTCGGTTACTGGCACAACGCTCTTAACCACTAAGCCACCTCAGCCAAGATGCTAAGCTAGCCAGCTAAAATAGTTTACAGATCTACACTATTTTTTTTGCTAGCTACACTAGCTCTGCCGTGTCTCCAGAAATGGCGAGGTGTCTCCAGGTTTGTTTATATCTGACCCCTCCTGCTCCAGGTATGACCACATCCTGAAATGGGATCTGTTCCAGCTGATGGATCTGGACACGTACCAGGGCATGCTGAAACTGCTCTTCATGAAGGAGCTGGAGCGCATCGTCAAGTCCTACGAGGCCTACCGCCAGGCCCTGCTCTCTGAGGTGGACCACAGGAAACCGAGGCAGCAGTGGTCCGCCTCAGGCCCAGCAGCAGCCGGGCTAGTACTTCACAGGGAACATGTGAACTGATTTTAATACGACCCTGAACTGACTGGACTGGACTGGACAGCGGAATGGCGCCAGTGGCTAGCTGGACCCCGGTACTTCAAGGATTGTCATTCTACACTGTTCATATGAAGTTCAGTCTGTACCATTCCCCCCCCGAGGCTGCTACATTCTAGCGCTCCACCCCTCTGAGGTTTCTATGGTAAGGGATCTCTGCCCTCAGGTTACTACAGTAAGAAGCTCCACCCCGCTGAGGTTTCTACAACAAGGAACTCCGCTCCTTTTGAGGTTTCTGTCCCGCCCCCCAGTAGGTTACGGTTGGTCAGGGTTCATCTCTTTGTGATTGACCTCCTTATTGCCGCCGCCGGCCTCTTCACCAAACATCCGTTGATCCCAATATATCAGCCAAATGTCCAGATGCTGCACGCATCATGTGGCTACGCACATGATTCAAGACCATGTGACTGCTCCAATGAAGAAAGAAAATAAAAATGTGTTCTCCAGCTGGTAAGAGAGAAATGAGTTTGTGCTTAAGTCGCTTTACAGCAAATGTCCTCTGAGAACTGGGTCTGTGTTCTTAGGAACAATAGACGCTGACGGAGAGACTGTGATTGTCCATAAGACTTTGTGTAAAGTTGCTGTTCTTTAATGGAAGACCTGAAGAGGATGACAGGGTCTTAAAGCCCTGTCATTGTTTGTTCGAATGTCCATAAGTGACTATAAGATTACAGATTGTGCCTTTTCATCACAGGAGCGGCACTTGTACTCTGCCTGTTATATTGATTATCTGCCTGTTATATTGATTATCTGCCTGTTATATTGATTATCTGCCTGTTATATTGATTATCTGCCTGTTATATTGATCGCTACTCAGTCACGTTTTTTTCCAGTTTGGGAGAGAAGGACCGGCAGCTTCACCTTATGAACTCGTGTTTCCAGATTAATTCTGCTCCATAAATGTTTTTTATAATCGTTGTACATAATTGTATTTCTTTGTTAGCATTTGTAGCCCGCCCCTAAAACAGATTTTATTTTAACAATAAACGTTTTTTTTTTTTTTTTACTTCTTTCTTTTTATAAGACAATCCTCCAAAACATGTAATTGTCTTGCACAAGAATTTTAGTTTTGATATGGAAAATGTCTTTATTTTAAAGACCTGAAACTGTAGGATAAAGCATCACATTTGATGCATTCATTTGAGCGACTCGTGGCTCTGTGCATCACTACATCAGGAATATCCTTTATTCTAATCTGTATATAAAAAAAACTCTGGACCCTGGTCAAAATAAGTGCCCAATATTGGGGACAGGGTGGCATTTGGGACACTTTATAAATATATATACAGTGCATTAGGAAAGTATTCAGACCTCTTGACTTTCCACATTTTGTTACGATACAGGCTATATTCTAAAATGGGTTAAATAGTTTTTTCCCCCTCATCAATCTACACACAATACCCCATAATGACAAAGCAAAAACAGGTTATTTAGAAATGTTTGCAAATTTATTTAAAAAAAACATATAAAACTGAAATATCACATTTACACAAATATTCAGACCCTTTACTCAGTACTTTGTTGGTCACTCAAGGACATTCAGAGACTTGTCCCGAAGCCACTCCTGTGTTGTCTTGGCTGTGTGCTTAGGGTCGTTGTCCTGTTGGAAGGTGATTGCTCGGTTTGGCCGGGCTGCCAGCTCTAGGAAGAGTCTTGGTGGTTCCAAACTTCTTCAATTTAAGAATGATGGAGGCCACTGTGTTCTTGGGGACCTTCAATGCTGCAGACATTTTTTGGTACCCTTCCCCAGATCTGTGCCTCGACACAATCCTGTCTCGGAGCTCTACGGACAATTCCTTCGACCTCATGGCTCTGTTTTTGCTCTGACATGCACTGTCAACTGTGTTATATAGACAGGTGTGTGCCTTTCCAAATCATGTCCAATCAATTGAATTTACCACAGGTGTACTCCAATCAAGTTGTAGAAACATCTCAAGGATGATCAGTGGAAACAGGATGCACCTGAGCTCAATTTCAAGTCTCATAGCAAAGGGTCTGAATACTTATGTAAATAAGGTATTTCTGTTTTTTATTTTTAATACATTTGCAAACATTTCTAAAAACCGGTTTTCACTTTGTCATTATGGGATGTTGTGTGTTGATTGAGAAGGAAACACATTTATTCAATCAGTTTTAGAATAAGACTGTAACTTTAACAAAAGGTGGGAAAAGTGAAGGGGTCTGAATACTTTCTGAATGCCCTGTATATCACTAATGGTTCAGATGCCTTATCTTTGCCAAACAACAACTGAAGTGCACTTTCCTCTGTATGTAGATGGACTCCGGCTACGTCCCAAATTACACCCTATTCCCTATGTAGTGCACTATCTAGTGAATAGGGTGTCATTTGGGATGCAGCCTCAGATAACTGGTTATTTTCTTGATGTGGATTTTGTAATGCCTTATTTTTTATGGACTGAAATTGATATTGTCTCAGCTCTGTTCTGGGTGTGACCGTAGCTACTAAGCTACAGTGAGGGGGAAAAAAGTATTTGATCCCCTGCCGATTTTGTACGTTTGCCCACTGACAAAGAAATGATCAGTCTATAATTTTAATGGTAGGTTTATTTGAACAGTGAGAGACAGAATAACAACAAAAAAATCCAGAAAAACGCATGTTTTAATTGATTTGCATTTTAATGAGGGAAATAAGGATTTGACCCCCTCTCAATCAGAAAGATTTCTGGCTCCCAGGTGTCTTTTATACAGGTAAAGAGCTGAGATTAGGAGCACACTCTTAAAGGGAGTGCTCCTAATCTCAGTTTGTTACCTGTATAAAAGACACCTGTCCACAGAAGCAATCAATCAATCAGATTCCAAACTCTCCACCATGGCCAAGACCAAAGAGCTCTCCAAGGATGTCCGGGACAAGATTGTAGACCTACACAAGGCTGGAATGGGCTACAAGACCATCGCCAAGCAGCTTGGTGAGAAGGTGACAACAGTTGGTGTGATTATTCGCAAATGGAAGAAACACAAAAGAACTGTCAATCTCCCTCGGCCTGGGGCTCCATGCAAGATCTCACCTCGTGGAGTTGCAATGATCATGAGAACGGTGAGGAATCAGCCCAGAACTACACGGGAGGATCTTGTCAATGATCTCAAGGCAGCTGGGACCATAGTCACCAAGAAATCAATTTGTAACACACTACGCCGTGAAGGACTGAAATCCTACAGCGCCCGCAAGATCCCCCTGCTCAAGAAAGCACATATACAGGGCCATGAATATCTGAATGATTCAGAGGAGAACTGGGTGAAAGTGAGTGTTGTGGTCAGATGAGACCAAAATCGAGCTCTTTGGCATCAACTCAACTCGCCGTGTTTGGAGGAGGAGGAATGCTGCCGATGACCCCAAGAACACCATACCCACCGTCAAACATGGAGGTGGAAACATTATGCTTTGGGGGTGTTTTTCTGCTAAGGGGACAGGACAACTTCACCGCATCAAAGGGACGATGGACGGGGCCATGTACTGTCAAATCCTGGGTGAGAACCTCCTTCCCTCAGCCAGGGCATTGAAAATGGGTCGTGGATGGGTATTCCAGCATGACAATGACCCAAAACACACGGCCAAGGCAACAAAGGAGTGGCTCAAGAAGAAGCACATTAAGGTCCTGGAGTGGCCTAGCCAGTCTCCAGACCTTAATCCCATAGAAAATCTGTGGAGGGAGCTGAAGGTTCGAGTTGCCAAACGCCAGCCTAGAAACCTTAATGACTTGGAGAAGATCTGCAAAGAGGAGTGGGACAAAATCCCTCCTGAGATGTTTGCAAACCTGGTGGCCAACTACAAGAAACGTCTGACCTCAGTGATTGCCAACAAGGGTTTTGTCACCAAGTACTAAGTCATGTTTTGCAGAGGGGGTCAAATACTTATTTCCCTCATTAAAATGCAAATCACTTTATAACATGCGTTTTTTCTGGATTTTGTTGTTGTTATTCTGTCTCTCACTGTTCAAATAAACCTACCATTAAAATTATAGACTGATCATGTCTTTGTCAGTGGGCAAACGTACAAAATCAGCAGGGGATCAAATACTTTTTTCCCCTCACTGTATGTAAGATACAGCTAGCTACAACCCATCTGTTCAGAATGATGTCACCATACTGCTAGCTACAACCCATCTGTTCAGAATGATGTCATCATACAGCTAGCTACAACCCATCTGTTCAGAATGATGTCATCATACAGCTAGCTACAACCCATCTGTTCAGAATGATGTCACCATACAGCTAGCTACAACCCATCTGGTCCTCTGTAGCTCAGCTGGTAGAGCATGGCGCTTGTAACGCCAGGGTAGTGGGTTCGATCCCTGGGACCACCCCATACGTAAAAATGTAAGCGCACATGACTGTAAGTCGCTTTGGATAAAAGCGTCTGCTAAATGGCATATTATTATTATTATTATTAACCCATCTGTTCAGAATGATGTCATCATACAGCTGGTATTTAACCTCATGGAGTGGAGATGCAGGACAAACACTAAGTCTGCTGTGAAGGAAAAAAAATAAGGTTTTCTCAAGCCTGTTGGGATGCCTGTTGCTGGATGCCTGTTGGGATGCCTGTTGGGATGCCTGTTGGGATGCCTGTTGGGATGCCGGATGCCTGTTGGGATGCCTGTTGGGATGCCTGTTTTCATTCAAAACCCCAAACCATGTAGCTTCTCCTCAAACGACTCACACAAACCTCTTATTGGATGTAGTCATTCACTATTCTGTCCTTGTAAACTATCAATAAATAATTGAAGCCGGTTTGGAGATGATCCTGGTTTCATAGTTGTTTGTAACACCATTCTGGCAGATACACGTACTAAAACCTGACCAACATCTATTTTTTTTTTTTCTCCACAAGTCAATACCTGGGTCATGCTCGGTAACGTTTTGCAACGGAAAACTACAATGAGCATTTCTTATTGGACCATTGCAGGTTGTAGTTCCTCTCCTTCCTGTTTCAATCATTTATTTTCAGT